TCCCCCTTTTTAACTACAATACTACAAAAAGACTTATGGGTATGCTTTTTTTAACTTACGGGATCAATTAGTTCGTTTGAAAGTATTTTATATATTTCTTGCATGCACAGAGCGATTCCAAAGGACTTTAAATATCTCCTGTAAATATGCATATTTGGGAATGTTTTTATTTAGAAGGACGCTGCTCATTAGAAAGGCGAACTTATGATATGAGAGTATTTTTGCTTAGAAGCATTCTTGTGTGTTCATCCTACGAGAGCGCTTCTATAGGGAAATGCTCTAATAGGATAACTCTATCAAAATAGTTCTAAGCAAAAACTCTCTTGCAGTCTCGTGTGTGTGTGTGTGTTGCTTTACGTGCTTCATAAATTTATATGCAATATTCTAAAGTTGAACATAACACAACATGATAACAATATACTTTAATTTAAATTTTTTAAAAAAATAGATTGTTTTTGGGGATTTGGTGTAGCTGCGATTTTAATCAATTACCCCAAGCACAAATTTAATGAAAATATTTTTTTGTCTAATCTAATCTTAAAATAAGATAGATTATTTTTATTTTTTTAAAATATGAATTTATGATACTTTGAATAAAAATAGGTTTATTAGTTTACAATCCATCACCTTCTCTTTTGAGGATTTGTGAAGTTTTGGATCCTACCCTGAGAAGGAAACGGGAAAGAAAGAATCAAAATTCCAGCTACATGTGGTCATATAGGAGAGAGGATCTTCAATAGTGGATGGGAATGAAAATAATAGAGGTATCGCATTCTTGTTTTTGTGCCAGGAGACAATATATATATATATATATATATATATATATCAATTCTCAAATGTACAGTTTATAATGAAATTTAATTATTTGGTTTCTGTAGTTTTGGTCTAGTTATAAGTTAAATTTTAAAATTTGAGTAATTATAAATAAATTCTTATAGTTTTAACTTGATTACAACTTTTTTCCTGTAATTTTAACAAATTAAAATATTGATTCATGTAATTTAAAAAATAAAATTATAAAGACTGAAAATATTTTAAAATTTTAATCTTTATAATCTTTACAAAGATTAAAAATATTCAGTAATTTAAAATATTAACCCTAAATTTTAACATAATTTTAATTTTTATAATTTTATTTTTTAAAATATAAAGACTAATGTTTTAAATAGTGAAATCTATAAAAACTGAGTTACAATCAAGTCAAAATTAAAAGGATCGAGTTATAATGAGTTAAAGTTCAGGACTGAGTCAAAGCTACAAGGACTAAATAGTTAATTTTTTCTTGGTTTATATAATATATACAAGACTATGATTTGGTTTATTTAAGCAGAGGAGCCGCCAGAGAAACTCTTGTCAATGCCAAATGGTGGAACGTCTACAACAAATGTTGAAATTGAAAGGCACATGGAGACAAAAATCCAGGGAGATGTAGCAACAATAACTATTGTATTCGGAAATGGCTAATAGAGATAGGAGCAGAGAGAATAATAATACAGACTCGTTGTCATGGTTGGATAATCCAGGCCCCACGATAATTAATGAAGAAAAAAACATGACCCACAAAGCACATGAATTTGCTGACAGCTGCATATCTTTCAATAAGTGGCAACAACGTTGTAAGTTGTAACAGAGACTTCATTGTACCTGATTGGGTGGAGAGAGGCCTCACTCAGAACTCCATGAGGCAACACTGTTCTACACTTAGCAGCTTCCTTTGGAAATAATACAATGGTGGAGAAAGCAGCTCAACATGCTCCTTCCCTTTTCATTGACACTAACAATAACTTCGATACGATATTGCATATTGTGGCTGCTGGATCAGGGCATGCCTCTGGTGTTCAATATCTTTTGAAAGCTTTTCTCCCAAACAAGTAGGGGTCGTATTGAACCAGATGATTTGGTGATGATGCTCTTGGTATGGCTCATTGTGCTGCAAAATGATCAAGGAAACACTTTCCTTCACGAAGCCTTCATGATCAATAGCTATAATGGGGCAATGATTTTCCAAGCTTTCCAAGATCCTTTCATCGCAGGTGAATATTCAGAGTTTGAGGCTGATTTTAAGATGATTGTTTTAGGTTTAAATAAAATAAATCAAGTTATATAGTTTTAATGAAATAAATTATGGGAAAATTTCTAAATCAAAGAATCCATTAACAACATGTGTATTTTTTTTTAATTAATATATATTACAATTTTAGTTAAAGATTCAAAGTAAAAACAAGTAAAAAATGAGGAGTACAAAAAATGATTAAGTAAACACTATCTAGAACCTAGTTTGATTGCATTTTAAAAGGATAAAACTTTTCAGAGTATGATTTATAATCTTCAATTTATATATATAATCTCTTTCCATGTTTCACTCATGATTGTGTTCTTATACACCCTCTTTTGGTTACCTTCTTTAACCATACCATTCATTCAATACATTTATTCCTATAATCCCTTTTTTCTCCTTGCAAAGGTAGCTGAAGGGCGCCAACCATAACTATTTGTTCAAAGCATCCGGTATATCCTAAACTCTTATGTGATATAATTTTGCTTTTCAATATTTGAAAATAGTACATTGGCACTTTGCTATTAGAAAAAAATTAACTTTGACCATTAATTAACCGCAAAAATTATAAAAAAGACCCATAAAATTGCAAAAAGGTACACTATAAGAAAATTAGGATCAATTAAATCCCTAAAATATTGGTTTGTCAAAATTGTATTTTGGCCTCTTATGTGGAAAATAAATAAAATTTGCATCCTAGTAATCATATTTTTACTTAGATTATTAAACCAGTATGGTCTTTGACCGATATGGATTGCCCCAAAATAGGTATATCACACAATAAGTGGTTTTGTCTCTCAAGCAAGGATATAGGTTTTACACTATGCAATGAAAAGAAAATACGTGACAGAAGTTTTAAGTTTTGGATTAAAAAAGTTAGTTGATTTAAAAATTGTAGAAAAAGACTACAAAAATTTCAAAAGAGGACCCATAAAAAGTTATAAGAAAATTAATATTAATTAAGTCTTCTAAATTATATATAAATAATAAGATACAAATGTTATTTCTTACCCATATAAAAGGCCTAAAATATAATTTTGACCAATCATTATTTTAGGAACTTAATTGATATTAATTTTTTATAGGACACTTATTTGCAATTTTATGAGTCCTTTTTTTGTTTGGTAACTTTTATGCTCTTTTTTTTTGTAATTTTTCTGGTGGTTAAAGTTATGTTTTTAATGGTAAAGTGCCTAGTATATCATTTTCAAATGTTGAAAAATGAAATTACATTACATGAAAGTTTATGATACTAGATATTCCTGAATGAAAAATTAATAGATACAAATGTCTATAACTCTTAAATTTTTAACATACCCACGGTTCATATCAACAAGAGTCCTTTTTTAATTGGGACAAAGAACAGAATAATAAACTCCTTAGTAAGCAAAAGAGGTGAAAGGGCCCAAGAAAGCACAAAGTAAGAAGGTAACGGGATCAAAATAAGTAAAGAAAAAGCATAATGTGATCAAAGAATAAAAGCAAAGCACACACGGAGAGGACTAGAATAAAAGAAAAGCACAAAGAAGAATACGAGCAAATAAAACAAGATTGCTGGATACAAAAGGCAGCATGTCCCTATGTACTGTCACCAAATGGTTACTTTTCAAATAATTTATTTTTCTTAATTATTGTTTTTAGTTTAAATAAAATAAATACAATTATATGGTTTAATGAAATAAATTATAGGAAAAAGTCTAAATCAAAGAATCCATTCTAAACATATCTATAATTTTTAATTAATATTACAAATTTAATTATATGGACCAATAATTAAATATTCGAAGTAAAAATTAAATAAGTAAACACTGAGTAAAAAAAGAAAAATAACTAAACACTATCTAGAGCCTGATTCTTTTCAGAGTATGATAGAATCGTCAATATATAAATACAGTCTCTTTCCATAATTCATCTTTTTTAATATCAATTTTAATATAATGTTTAATGCATTTATCACAAGGATATATTATACGCAACATGTACTTATATATATGTGTGTGTGTGTGTGTGTGTGTGGCTATAATAGGCGATATAGAATGGACCGAAAGTCATTTGTCCAACTTAATTAACTGGCAACGCACTCTCGTGAGAAAATATTTCAAAAAAGGTGAAATTCATTTTTATAATTATACAAAATATCTTCCACTGATCATGCTTCTTCATCCTCTTAAATTTAGTTATATTAATTGTCTGATTGCATACTTATATGTATTAATTGTTTGCATGCGATTGATGCTTTTGTGAAGTTAATCTCAGCAGGTGAAAGTATAATTGCTGCCATGTCTGCTGGAAACGTAGAGGCCGAGCAAAGGCCATCTTCAACTTCACAGCCTCACCAAATGGAATCGCAGCAAACGTACCATTGTAATTGTTTTCAGCTTCATTTTCTTTTCCCTTCTGGGGTTGAATAATGGTCGAAATATTATATAATCAAGACGGTTAAGTTCGTTTTTTCTTTTTTCGTGATGAATAATGAATGAGAGTATCAAATTACTAAGCCATCTTTAGTTTCAAGAACTGATAAAGAGGCTTACTCTTTATTCGTGAACAGCAATTTGCCCAACCTAATTTCACCAATAACATGTCTATTTGATATGCACCTAATTAATATGAATAATTCATAAACAAAAGATAGATGTACAGGAATAATCTATATTTTTTTAGAATAGAATAAATAATATTACAATAAAATGTAGGTGAAATATATATGTTGCATATCTTCGGAAGTTATATTTGTTTCTCCTGGACCATAATTTTATGCCATATTTTCTTAAGTCATATCGTAGTTTTTTTGTAGTTTCCCCCCTTGTATCTGTGTGTTTTGTTGTTGTATCATAAAATAAGCTATATTTTCAGTTAAACAAATGAACTTTAATTTGTGATATACTTTGAATAAAATTATAGGTTTATTAATTCACAATCCACCTTTTCTTTTGTGGGTTAGATGTTTCAAGTTGTTGGATCCTACCCGAGAAGGAAACGAGAAAAGAATCCAAGCTGCAGCTACAGATGGTTTTCGAGATAAGAGGATCTTCAGCAGTGGATGGGAATGAAAGTAATATAGGTATCGCATTCTTGTATTTTGCCATGAGACCAAAAAAAAATATAAATTAACACACACACACAGTTCATAATATGAATGATATAACTTTTAGCCCTTCAAGTTTGTTTCAGCCATCAATTTAGTTTCTCAAGTTTAATTTTTTATCAAGTTAGTTCCTTAAGTTTATTTTGCTTATCATGTTGGTCCTTATTGTTTACAAAGGAAGTCACACTGTTAAAATTTACTGATATTGATAATTAATATTGAAGAATAACATAAGGGAGAAGACCTTTAAAATAATTAAAACAATAATTTCAATCATTAATTTGTTAATGTTCACTTGTTAAAAATCCTTATAAGATATTAAATTATCTTTTGGGGGTCCTAACTAATATTTTTTCATAATAGAATACTGATAGAAATCATGTAGATTAATGAAAAAAATATAATTATTTAGGTAAGAATAAGTAGACACTGAAATTTTAAAAAACTAGAGAACAAAACACAATGTAAGAGATTATATTAATAAAAATTAAACTAATTTAAAATATTTGATTGCAATCATCAATATATTTTATACATTATATTATATTGGAAGTCAACTTATGTTTTAAAATTATGTTAAAGGACTTATAATTTAAGAAATTATAAGAGACTAAATTGATAAAATTTAAACTTAAGAAACTAATAAAAGTTTTATTACTTCTTTATAATATATACAATACTATGATTTGGTTTATGCAGACGAGCCGCCAGAGAAAATCTTCTCGATGCCAAGTGATGGAACTTCTACAACAAGTGTTGAAATTGAAAGGCGCGTCTACACACAAATCCAACAAGATGGAGCGTCGAGGAGAGAATTCCTTATTACTCAATTCGAAGTGGTTTATAGAGATAAGAGCAATAATGAGAATCAAAATACATACTCGTCATGGGAGTCGTATAATTCTGGCCCCACGATAACAAAGCAAGAACATGGACCCACCAAGGACATGAATTTGCTAACAGCTGCATATCTTTCAATGAATGGCGACAACGTCGTAAGTTGTAACAGGGATTTCATTGTACCTGATTGGGTGGAGAGAGGCCTCCCTCAGAACGCCATTTATACGCAGCGAACCCCACGAGGCAACACTGTTCTACACTTAGCAGCTTCCTATGGAAACAATACAATGGTAGAGAAAGTAGCTCAACATGCTCCTTCCCTTTTCACTGAAACTAACAACAACTTCGATACGCCATTGCATGTTGCCGCCAGAGCAGGGCATGCCTCTACCATTCAATCTCTTTTGAAGGCTTTTTTACCTTTCGCACACCAGCAAACAAGTGGCCGTGATGATCAAGATAATTTGGTGATGATGCTCTTGATATCTCTCACTGTGCTGCAAAATGATCAAGGAAACACTTTCCTTCATGAAGCCTTCACAATCAATGGCGATAATGGGGCAATGATTTTCCAAGCTTTCCAAGATCCTTTCATCACAGGAGAAAATTCAGAGGTTGAGGCTAATTTCAAGACTTTTGTTAATTCTATGGCACCATTAGTTGTTAACAGGGAAGGAAAATCATTGTTATTTCTTGCCATTGAGGCTGGCTGCAACCATGTTGTTACTAGATTGATGGACATGTGCATGCACCTTGAGTTGCCACCTCGAGGAAGATCACCTCTTCTTCCAGCAATCATCAATGAGGATAGAGGTACTGTAACTTCTATTGGAGTGATTCTTACATGGACTAGGTATACCACGTCATTTATAAACTATCCAATAAAACTGCACTATTTCAATCAAATAGGAGAAATTCTTGCATGAATTTAGTGCATCATATCATCCATACTCCGTCCACTTAAATTAAACTAATTCAATCCAATAAAATCTTGTGTCATTATTTTTTTAATGACTTTATTTTTATAATAGAATGCCTTTTTTTTTTTGCATTTTCTTTCTCTGCTATCGTTAATGATAGAATTAATTTATATTTAATGTCATAAAAATGTCATGTTTTTATTGGATGGAGCATGGATGATGGTACACCAGGTCTGTGTAAGAATTTCTTATCAAATAAAATTTTGTGCCATTATTTCTAATGATTTTATTTTTGAAAAATGGTGTCTATTTAATTTTTTTCTTTTTCTCTCTCTCTATCATTATCAATAACAGAATCAATTTATATTTATAACCATATGTCAAGGCATGTTTTTATTGGATAGTTTACAAATAATGTGGCACACCGAGTCTATATAAGAATTGCTCCTTTTATTGACTCCTTGATTCATTTCTTAATCTTCAAACTATGTATTGAAATCTTTCTACCATTCTGTACGTACGTTGATAAATGTCCCCATTAATATGTCTTGTTTAATTACTTGAAGTTATCCTTGAAGATATACTGAGTAAGAAACCAGATTGGATACATCTAAGGAATGAAAAAGGAAGGTATCCTCTTCATGAGGCAGCATTTATAGGTTACCTTAAAGGTGTTTCTTACTTGATCAAAAAATGTGTTTCTTGCACCATGGAAATGGACAATGATGGCTTCTTCCCAATTCATTTGGCTTGTAAGGGAGGTCATGTTAAAGTAGTTCAAGAGTTACTAAAATGGTGCCCAGATCCTATAGAGATGGTGGATAGGAAAGCCCACACTTTTCTTCACATTGCTATCAAGAGTGGGAGATATGAAGTGGTTAGGTACATCCTCCAACATCCTAAGCTCGAGAAGCTAATGAATCAAAAGGATAATAACGGGAATACCCCTTTACACATGGCCACCCTCCACTGGAATCCTATAATTGTGCATGCCTTTACATGGGATAAAAGAATTGATCTTGCTTTACTCAACAAACAGAACCAAACAGCTTTAGACATTGCTGACCAATGGCTTGATGATAATACATCATTGGCTCAGGCAAGTATATTAATGAAAAATTTGATATTTGAATGAAGATTAGACACAAGTTTTGTTATTAACAAATCCAAAATTATATGTGCAGAGACTTACATGGATTGCTTTGCAATCTTCTGGTAGACCTCAAAACTTGATGATGAGACTTACTCCCAAAAGAACACAGACAGAAGTAAAGAAAAAAGAACCCAAAACTGAACGATATAAAGACAGAATTGACACTTTGATAGTGGTTTCAACTCTTATAATAACAGCATCGTTTGCTGCTGGATTGACCATGCCAGGTGATGTTGATGATGGGACTGCCATTAATCTTAATCGCCATGTGTTCCATTTGTACATTCTATGTCTCTCAATCTCTATATATGGTGCCATCAACTCAACAATTATTCTCATATGGGCTCGACTAGGGGATCTCCGTCTAATACTTTTTGCCCTCAATTGTGTAGTACCACTTTTGGGCATATCTCTTATGACATTATCGCTGGCATTCTTGGCGGGTGTATACCTAGTGGTAAGCAAACTTACCTGGTTGACCATTACCTTTGTGACAACAAGTGTAATTCTAGTTGTCACGATTGTATTATTATACACTCTCCTTTGCTTACCCTCCTCCTCAACCTTGCCATTCATGAGATACATCTCTTACTATCCTTTTCTTTTGCTTGCAAAGCTTGCTGAACCTCAAATTGATGATGGTGCCAACCACAAAGCTTCTCAATTCGTTCACAATACTTTATATACTTTAAATGATTATAAAATACCAAAAGTAGTTAATTAATATGCCTATTCATGTCAATCGTAGTGGTGATTGTAACTAACTATAACAAATTATAAATACATTAGCTATATTGAATTTATATCATAACAATATCCTAAGCCACACACTTTTGAATGAATTTCTATTGGTTATTTCACTAACTCTTGGATATTCTATGATAAGTAAAAGATTTTAAGAAAAATAAATTAATCTTCATTCAATTCTTTAACTATTTACCATTTTACATTGGCCTATTATGTTGTTGTAGGAATTGTAAAATGATCTCTTAAGTTTTAAGTTTGTTTCAAATTCTAATATGTTCCATTTTTTTTATGTAAAGATCGATCAATCTATTATTAAACAGGAAAGAAAATAATTATAAACAACGATTAAAGGGCTTTGTCCTAGAAGTTTTTTGTCAAGTACAACTAGTATCCTTAAGTTTTGATAGGCACAATATTACCCTAAAAGTTTAAAAAATGGTGCAATATAATGTCACCATATAGTAACGCTTGATCAACATTGACAATTACTTGAAAAATTCTAACTAGGGTTAAGGAGTAATTTTTTATAGCACAAGGAGTAGGCTCCATTGATAGAAAATATTATCTCTCTCGAGGTGCAATAATGTCCTAGAAAATTAATTGGGGATTAATTAATCAACCTAGTAAGGATAAAATGGTAAAATAATAGGTTAATTAAGTTAAACGTGATTAGCAATCAATAATAGATTTAATTGGACCACTAGGTAGCATTGGATTGGGTCTAATTGGGTAATGGGGGTAGATTGGGCCTAAGAGGGTGACACAAGCATAGATTGTGCTTGTTGTGTCATCAGTTGTGACGGATGCACCGTGCGCTATGAAAGATGGCCATTTCAAATTTTAAATATGTCGCACGACATATTGGGAAATAGAAGAAGTAAGAGAGAATGAGAGAGTGAGTTGGACAACATCTATGTAAGCATTACATATTTTCACATTCTATCGTTACATACACATATACTTATCATTTCATACTCATTCTCTAACGCATTCAACTCATTCATTCACAATGTATTAACACATCTACATGCATATAACCTTTCATTAACAAGTCACAATCATAATCTTTACATCACTATCCAATCCCAAGTAGTTAATAAAATCACATTGGCACTCTCTCAAGGTTTACATATTGAAATCATAAAGTTCTATGATTCATGCTAAATATATCATTTTAAAAAATTTAAATCAATTAATAAACAACTACATAGAAATATTTTTCCTACTTACCTCAAACCTTTAAGAAGTCAAAGGTTTACCCCTCAGGTAAAAGCTTCCAAGCTTGCTCTCAAGCTAAAATGGTGTACAGGATGATTAATCTACAATTAATTAAGTCCACAATCATCAACATCACCATTTATGTAATTTAAACTCTTTATTCCAACACTCTAAATATCCCAAAGTCTTTATCTTTTGCATTCAAGCTTGCCCATTGAGTATGTTAACTTTCTTTAGCACACATGAACTCCATTAAACCCTTTAATTGCTATTAATAGCTTCCAAACACTTCAAGAACCCTCATATATTGCCCACTTTCAAACATTAATGTCCAAAAACAACCATTAATGTGTAAAACGTTCAATCATTTGTTTAAACAACTCAAATAACTTTCATTAACTCTATTTAAGTTAATGGATTTAGAGCCATATCCTTAAAGGTCCAAAAATCACCTTTATTAACAAGCCCTAACTTCAAAAACTCTCAAATGAGAAAGAAAAAGGAAGAAGGGAGCCTGGAAAACTTACCTTTGATGTTGTCTAACTCCAAATTGCTTTAAATGCTTTAAGACATCAAGCCCTAACACAGCTCCAAAGTTTCTCTCATTTTCCTTCTCACTTCTCTTATATTTTTTGAGATAATTCATGACTTATTTTTTCTAGATTTTGTCTTGTGGCATATGGCACAGAGAAGTCCCCTTCACATTTTTTGGCCTATTACATTGCAACACACGTTGCACGTGCCATGATATATGGTACAAAGCCTCACTTCTTTGTTTTCCTCTCCCTTTTGAGGTCTAAGTAACTCGTATCCAATTGGATCTGAATTTAAGACTAAAATCTTAACTTAAAACAATCATTAGCCCTCTCTGATTACACACTACATTAATTTACTTAATTAACCTAGATTATTCTAATTAATATAAGGTTAATTTTTAAGATGTTACAACTACTGTCAAAGACTCTCTTTAAGAGTGACTTTTACAATCAATGAAGCTCACAAATAATGAACATTACAGCAGAAAGTTAGTTAAAATTGAATGCGTATAGTTGAGTAATAACTTCTCTACATCCACTTTATAAATGAGTCATATTTATAGTTGATGTTGAGAATATATTCGTTAGACTCATAGAGTTAGCCATTAGAATGTCATTCTTCTTTCCTTATGAGTTTCTCTAGAAAAGAGGTAATAAAGTAGTGCTTTACAAAAGAGTGGCATTCTCATGGCAAGTAAAAAAACAACGACTCTATGCATGTAATACTCTGACACAAGGTAAGTAGGTTAATACCGATAGAGCCAAATGCAATACGAGTATAGAGAATGATATGAAATTTAATAATGAAAGGATCTATGTCTAAGGTTTTGTTTTTATAAGTTTTTGGAAGCTAATGAAGCTGGCACAACACTTAGAAACTAAAATGAATAAGGGAAAAATCAAAACTGATACTTTCAAAGAGTGAAATGAGAAATAGGGCAACTTTCTTGATGTCAACATTGGTATTAGTACTTACAGTACCAGTACTGATATATATAGTTAGGATATGAAAGCTTAGTATAGTTTGGGAATTGAAAATATTAGTACTATAATAGATAGTGTGGACTTAATAAGGATAGTACTGGTGTTGAATGGTTTAATACCCAAACAGTCACTATTAGTACTGATATTGAGAGAGATAGTATCAATATTGATACCAAAGAAGAACAATGTGACTTAGTACTGGTATGGAAGAATTTCTTGGGGTAAAAGGCAGTCAGTACTGGTATTAAAGACATTAGTACCGGTATTATTGTAACTTTAAAAAGACAAGCACTTCTATGTTTCTTAAGATCAGAGTGAAATGAAACTAACATAGAACATAGAACATTTTAAGGGCTTAGATTCAAGATAGAAAGGTTCAGATTTAGTCAAATACTTTACTTGATCAAGGAATCAAATTCTTCAAATCCATTAGAGAAGTCACACTAAGGTACACTTTTGACAGTACAGGTATTAAGAATATAGAAGGAATTTTATCAAAGTTTCAACGCATATAACCTTAAATGTTCCTTAATTTCCTCGATTGAATTACTTTATTATATTCTTGTTAAACAAAATCTTCTCTATTTTGTAATCATCAAAACTAAGGTTTAACAGGTTTGACTATGGTCAATATTTGAATCCATATTAGGATAGATGCCTGCATTTAATGTCTAATCGTGGCTTGAATATGATTGCTTTCAATAAAAGTGCACTTGTGAGTAATAAAAAAATTAATTTAGAAAGTACATAAATATTAAAAGTAAGGTGAAATCAAGTTTTCACACATTATGTCTTGCTCTACATAAAGACATTTAGTACTCCTTATTACTCTCATTGATCAGTAGCATCACAAACTAAACAAATGTCTCTTACTCTCAGAGTTGTATTGTCTTCTCTTCCTTTTTTGCTTTCTCTCATCAACTTTGCAATAATCACTACATTTGTAAGTTTTTCTCTTTTTTTGATTTATTATTCGAGATAGCTTGTTCGGAGCATGAGAGAGTCGTTGAGAATTTAAGCCAAACACATATTCTCTTCGTTAAAAAATGTCAGACATTTTTAACTAAATTTCATTCCTCAATAAAATAGTTATTTTCCTTCAAATTACCATCATCTTTTCATACTTACCCATATTTAATAGGGTGTTTTACTCTAAAATAAATATAAAGTGATTTATTTATTAGAGGTATTTTTAAAAAACAATACAATGATTGCACCTTGAAATACTAAAAACACACTACATTTTTTGTCATACATTTCTTGTATGATAGCCTTCAAGAGAACCCTTTTGTAGAGTGCTCTTATATATAGGCATACAAGAGCACTATTTGTCTGGGTTAGTCATCTTGCTATAAATTGCCTTAAAGAAGAAACAAAGTATGGTAATGGTTCCCTCACCTCCTTTAGCAAAATAGTTTGTATACCTACTAATAACAAATTTTCCATGATGATATGACAGTCATGAGTCTTCAAGTTAACAAGTTTGAGGTCTTTCATGGATACGAGGCTACTGATGTTTGAAAAATATCCTTTTAGTACTTTAACTCCATGCAAAAATTCACAGAAAGCCAATTTCTCCTTTCTAAATAAGGTGTGAGTTACTGGAGGTAGAAAAGTACATTTTCCTTTTCTCTGTAGTGCCAACTCTTCTCTTAGCCCTATACTAATCAAACCTATCCTTACATTAATGCCATCTTTGCTCTTTTATGAAATGTAAAGTAACATGCCAATAAGACTATCACATACATTCTTTTTTATGTGCTTTGCATCAAAGAAATGCCTAACATCTAGGGTTTTCTATTATGACAGTTCAAAGATAGACTTCTTTTTCTAACCATTCTTAACAACCTTACTTGCAAATGGTTTTTCAAATTTGATATTCAAATCTTTGACCTTTTTCAAAGAGCTACTCACTAATTAATGGAAAAAGAACTCTACCCTTCTCCAAGTGGCCATTGAAGGCCTTCTTCAACTGCCAATAATGATTTGTTTATAGCAAAAATCAACAATGACTAATAAAGACTTTCTTCCTACACAATTCCAATTACATTGAACAAGTGTACTCTTCACAAATTAGGCATGCATCTCTCCCTTTAATAATGTATCCTAACAAATTACCATAGGTAGGAAAGTCATTTATGGTGCTACACAACATTGCACGCAAGATGAAATGTTCTTCCCTGTACCCATTATAGACCTCTACACCCATCTCCCACAATATCTCACTATTATAGAAAATACTCATATTTGACGCTTATTTTT